GCTATCTATATATTTACACTACACCGACATTTTACATTTTAGTTTCTATATTTGTGTTCTTTTGGGGGTAATATAACAGAGAATCGATGGAGTTGCTAAGATCAGAGACAACTACAATCCAGCAACATGGATGCTAGAGGTTACTTCACAGTCTATAGAGACTGAACTCAACATTGATTTCGCAGAAATCTACAGCAAATCAGATCTTTACAAGTGAGTAGAATTAATGTCTTGTTATAAACTAACTGTACAAGACTGATGAGTTAATGTCTTGTTTTTCGCAGAAGCAACTCCGAACTTGTTAAAGAGCTGAGCAAACCAGATTTAGGATCAAGCGATTTGCACTTCCACAGAACATTTGCGCAGAGCTGGTGGGAACAGTTCAAATCTTGTCTATGGAAGATGAGTTTGTCTTACTGGAGAAGCCCTTCTTACAACTTGATGCGAATCTTTCACACTTTATTCTCTTCTTTCATCTTCGGTGTACTCTTCTGGAAGCAAGGCCACAAGATGTAAGTTACCATAAGTTTCATTATACTATCTTTAGTAATTCACTTTCCTTTTATGTTTTGGCAGAGATACACAACAGAACTTGTTCACAGTTCTTGGAGCTATCTATGGTCTTGTGATCTTTTTAGGTGTAAACAACTGTGCTACAGCTTTGCAGTACTTTGAGACAGAGCGTAACGTTATGTACCGCGAAAGATTCGCTGGAATGTACTCTGCCTTTGCCTATGCATTGGCTCAAGTTGTGACTGAGATTCCTTACATTTTCATCCAAAGTGTAGAGTTTGTGATCATAATATATCCGATGATTGGTTTCTATGCTTCTTACTCTAAAGTTCTTTGGTGTCTCTACTCAATGTTCTGCAACTTACTATGTTTCAACTACGTCGCGTTGTTCCTCATCTCCGTGACACCAAACTTCATGGTTGCAGCTATTCTCCAGTCTCTTTTCTTCGTTGCTTTCAACCTTTTTGCTGGTTTCTTGATTCCAAAACCGGTAAATATCTTTTTGAGCATTATCATCATCATCATCATCTCTTTACATATGTTTAATAATGTTTTTGTTGATGTTGAAACAATGAAGCAAATACCCAAGTGGTGGGTATGGCTTTACTATCTAGCTCCAACCTCTTGGACACTCAACGTGTTCTTCTCGTCTCAGTACGGTGATATTCATGAAGAGATCAATGCCTTTGGAGAATCCACAACTGTTGCGAGATTCTTGGAGGAGTATTTTGGGTTTCATCATGATCGCTTGGTGATTACAGCCGTTGTGCTTATTGCATTTCCTGTTGCATTAGCTTCTATGTTTGCCTTTCTCGTTTCCAAACTCAACTTTCAAAAACGTTGATGGATCAGACACCAAGACCACACAAGCTACTATCATATGTCAACAATGAAGTTATACTATATGATGCCAATAAGAAGACTGTTACAAGGTTCTTGATTCCAATATGAGTTCTGTCATGAACTGCTCTTTTGTGCAGAGTGTCAAGATCTCTGACTTCCTTCTCCAATTCTTCAAAACATCAAGATAACATTTAAAATATTAAACTACAACAATATTATAAGATTTAATCTGATATTTTGTTTGTAGTTTTATATTTTATTATATATATTTATTTAGAATTTTATATTTTAATGTTATATTTTATTAATTAATACTCCTGTAATGTTTTTATGTATGTAAGAGTTATTTATAAACAAATTATGAATTTGGATTAGTTATGATAAATATAAGGACCATAGTATAATATATAAATAGTTTTCAACTTAAATTTGAAGTTTTGTTTTTGGACTATAACACATTTAAACTTCAAATATAGAATTTTAAAAACTCTAAAATAAAGATTCTTTTTGAAAATATCAAAGGTGGATTGACCGAAAAGTTTTGCATAAATGTTTTTCTTAGAGGAAATATAAATTTAGAATTCATGTATGTTAGATTTGTAATTCTTTTAACATCTGGTTTTTAATATAAATTATTTACGTAAATATGAAAATAAAAAGTTTCAATCATTCATATATGCTTTTCCAATTCAAACTGAACTGAATTTAAACCTAAATTTTATCGGAAATAAATGAGTTATTGAGTTTTTTTATCGAAAAAAGAAAAAAATGAGTTATTTAGTTTTGGTTATATCAACAAAACTGAAAAATAAGAAACCCTTGAATTCAATATGGATTGGCTATCTTTTGGAAAGATCCATACCATTAGTTAAGGAAATAAAATACACTACCATCTATGTACTCGATTTTTAACGAGAAACTTTAGAATGATCCGCTCGTCCGTGCTAATATTAATTTTTATTTTTGTATAATTAATAATTATTTTTAATGATTGGAGTTATATATTTAGATGTGTCACCATATAATTAATTGTATATTAGTTATTTGAATATTTATTTGGTTCCTCTTAATGCCTGAACGGAGTTTAAATTAAAATCCATAAACCTAATATATTTAAATAAACGATCCTTATCCGAATGAATGCCTTATTATTTATTTTTAGTTTGTCATAATTAAACCCGATATATTTAAATAAAATATCCGTGTCCTAAAATGTAAGTTCAAACAAAATATCCAAAATGTATTATTTATTTTTAGTTTGCTATTTATCTTTTTCTACTACATCTCAGATATTGACACTTTAAAATACTTACAATAAATATTTTAATAGTTTTCATAATTTATTTTTGTTTCACTATTTTATTATATTAAAAATAATTAGATTTATATTTTAAAGAGGAATTATTTATAAAATAATACAAATAAAATTAAAACGGATCAAATCGGTAACTTTTAGATGTATTAATATTTATATTAAAATTTTATCTATTTAAAATTATCTTTTTAGCAGTTGTTTTACCCCTTCTATGTTTTAACTATGTTGTTTGAATGCAACACTTCTAATTATAGGTCTCCATTATTCAGCTCTAGAATGTAACTAGTATTATTACTATTGTTATTGACAATTGTTTCCACGTAGTACGTACGCAGTGGGCGTCTCTCTCTCTTTCAGTAGAAGACAAAAAAAAGAAGCATAAATCACCTCTTACTTCCTTCTCTCCCAAAATACGGTTTGTTACTCTGTTTCGTTTTCCAAGAGAATCTCTATGTTCTTTCTCTCTGAGCCAAAAAAATGACCACATTCAATCATTCTTTCAGAGTCTACATTCCCAAGCTGGGTCGTTTGGTTTCTGACAAGCCTGAACCTATGCAAGTTCGATGCTTCAGCAAGGCAAAAAGGGAGGAGATGAGAAAAAAAAATCAGAGATTAAAACAGTTTATACGAAATCTCTTAAAGCAAAGCACAAAGGAAACATTCTAGAAGCTGTTGAGATTTGCAGAAAGAAAGCTGAAACCTTGGAAAATATGAAACCTCATAATTCCTAAATTTAAACAACAAAAACGCCTCAAACAAGTTACTTTCATGTTAATAGTCCCTTTATTTTCATAGAATTCCTCAATCAACGAACACATGTTAGTATACAAATATTATAAAACTTTTAACAGTTTCCTATGACAATCAATTTATTATTACATTGCGGTCCCATTCGATCGTTGTTGGTTAGAGTGAGACATTCTCCAATAAAAATGTTTGGGAAAGAAAATGACAAATTGTAACTAGAGTCTACACAGTAGCTCAAAAGGTATCTTTATCCCTATATATCAATAAGCATTCGGGATAAAACTTTACGATCAAAAATTCATACTATTTTGTTATTCGACATCGCAAAATAGATAATTGGATAGTAGTACTAACTGAAATTCAAAAATTGTGCAGTTGTATCTTTAGAAACCTTTTATTTTTGTCGTATATTACCCATATGCAAAAACGGCTCGTGTGTTATATACAGTTTCAAGGGGCTATACACATTATTTAATACTCCAAATCAAACATTTTTAGAAAAAACTAACTTATCAATATGATCGATTTTATTCAATTAAGGGTGAATTGGGTGAAAATCCTAACAAAGTTTATCATGCTATGCAGAAATTGAATAAGTAGCTGATGACAAAGTTTATCATGCTATGCAGAAATTGAAAAAGTTTAACATATCCTATGCAGATAGGAGTCTCTTCCTCTTTCCTCTTTCCTCTTTCAAGCTTTACTCCTCATCTTATTCTTCCTCTTGCTCCTCTTCGTAATAGTATGCCCCTTCCTCATCCTCTTCTTCAGATTCGCTTTCCTCTCTGAAAAAACAAAGTTCTAACTGCAATACTTCTTTATCCATTATAGTGAAAGTAATGCAACTTACCCATCTCGAAACATGTAATGGGCGAAGGATGCTCGAACTCTGATGAAAGGAAAACGACGCCCTCTGATCACTCTTCTAAAAAGTGCAACAAAGAAGTCATCATCTGCTTCATAGGGCATCCCAATGGAAAGGCGGATCAAGACATAAACAATACAAAATCGAATAAATTTTGATGATATAAGAGAAAACTGAATCCGGCAGCCATGAAAACAGCTTGAGCTGTCGAAACCCTAACAAAAATTGGGGGGGGGGGAAGAAGATGAGTTATTTACAATTATGCTAACAGGCGACTCGAACATGGTAAACTAGCTTAAGAGTAACAACGTTAACCACCAGACAACTTATTCTCTAACTTTATACTACAACCCTTTATATCCGAAAATGGTATTTAAGGAAATTACATGTTTGATTGATCTTAGAAATAGTTTGGTGGTTTGTATTTAGCTAGGGAACAGAAACACGGGTTGGGTTAAAATTAAATTTATGTTGCTAAAGATAGTTGTGGATTTGATTTAAGATTTTAGCATATTTTATGATGTAATCTAAACAAATTATTAACCAAGGTATATGAAGTCTATCAAATAAATTGTAAAATGTATTTAACATGAACTGCTCTTTTGTGCAGAGTGTTAAAACTATTCTAGTTAAACTTAATAAAGAAACATTGAGCAAAAATTTTGCAGGTAAGCTCTTGAAGTTGAAAGATCTTATGTGATGCGATGCTAAGAGAAGTTAGCGTTTTGTCTCCGGATTTAAAAGATCTTCTGATTTGCTCTCTTCGGAAGATTTGGCTTCAGATGTTGCATTACTAGTACTATCACCATTTGTTTCTTCAGGTTCTTTTGCCTGTTACATAAAAAATTGCATTAGTGAGTAACATTAAAACTGATAGATGAAGCATACTAAAAATGATCTATCTTAAGCTGAATATATTTCATCAGCTCGAGGGAGTTAAGTACTTGACCTTGTTCCTCTCGCGCCAGCCAAGCCCAAATGATAAGAAGCCTGTCTTCTTTTTAAGTGTCTCCTGTGGAGAGCCTTGAGAGCGAGCAAACCTACACAACGTCGAAGAAAATAATAACCTTTCTTAAATCATATTGACATGAGCAGTAGTACCTAGAGATGCTTATCAAGGTAAATAACACACTAAGCATGTTATAAAAGAAGTGAGTTTCTGATGTACCTTGGAGATGATAGTGCTTTATTTTGACCTGATTCATATTGCAAAGTAGCTTCTAGAGTTGTTTCTGCTGTAACTACTCTCTTCTCCATTTGAGCTAGTTGAGCAGCAAGCTTCTCATTCTTTTCCTGTATAAGTTGTATCCATGATGACATTGTGGATTTTAGACTCGTTTTTTTTTTTTTTGGAGGTAACAGCCGCAAAAATAGTCATATGTAATGTAATGAGTCTGTAGTGTAACCAAAGCACCTGAAGGACGTGTACTGCATATTTTTGTGCAGCTGCATCCTGCTCTGCACTTACTCGAGCATCTTCAGTGAGCTTCTGGTCTTGCTCAACTCTCATCAGAACCTAAAGTATATGCATAAGAAAGGTAGATTAAATAGCTGCCCCCGAACAAACAAGTAAAACAAGGATTAATAGACCTGAAGCATGGCTGTTTCTTGTTCTTTTTTGTCAGAAAGTGCTTGCTTTAGATCTCTGATTTCCTTCTCCAATTCTTCAATCTGTAAAACTTAACATGTTTTACTTTTAAACACTTCCTTTGCCACCTGATAACAACTTCTGGAGGAGGTATATAGAAGATTTACCTTTGCACTTAGTTCAAGTCTGTTATCTTCTTTGACCATCTCCATCAGAGCAATCTCTAGCTCCTCAGCTCTGTACAGAGTCATAACACATAATATTAGTACTGGCTTGTTGCAACAAATGAAGTAACAATAAGTCAATAATAACCTTAATACAGCTGATCTTTTCTCCTCCAAAAGTCTGCATAGTTCAACCTTCAACCATACCGCCTGCACAATAACTGTTACGGATGAAATTTAAATGGAGTTGCATATTATATAGATTGCTCATACTAATCATCAACACAAGATCTTCCTTGATGGAACTCAAACATGTTAGCAAACAAAAAAAAGTCACCTGCTCTTGAAGATCTGGTAAAGAGTCTAACTCTGAATCAACATTTGAGCCATCTTCTAGATTCTCACCATCTTCCTTCTGAGTTTGTTCACCTAGGATAGAGCCTTCATGTTTAAAGCTGTACAGCTTAGAAGCCAACCCCTTCTTGTCTTTCCAGACACGACCTTTCTGCATTCTTTCCTCAACTATCTCCAACACCGCCGGTCTATGTATTACCCTAAGCTCCTCTAGTCTAGCTTCATTTGTCGTTAGATAGCCCATGCATGCGGTCAGAATAAGCTGACTGCTATCAAATGTTGAACTAGCAAGTGCTTGTAGTGAAGTAATCGCATCTCCTGCATCTTGTGTGGCAATAATTGCAGGACCTAAGGAGAAATAAAGATAAAAGCAATCATCACAACACTTATAGAGTGTCACATTTGATATTTACAGAAAGTATTAGTAATACCATATAGTTCCATTAAAGCAAATGCTGTTCTGAACAAGACTACACGGTTTCCTTCAAAGAGAAGCACATCCCACATCCTTAGAACTGGAACCAAAACAAAACATACAAAGATGAAAATATAGTTTAAGGTAAGAAAAGGATGAGAAAGGAAACTTCCTGAGTTCTCTCACCACATTCCCAAGGAAGTATATTTACAAAAATAGATAGAAACCATGGCCCTGAGATCCATGCTACCTGCACTCCCAAGTAATCCAGATGATTAACTGCATCAGGAGCATTATTAACGATCACATTGTTCTGTATAAAGAGGAAAAATTTGCAATTCAAATGAAGAGATCTAGAAGAAGAAAAAACGAACCGAGTTTTGGGAATCTTTCTCTCATCAACTCTTCAAAAACTAGTTGATCAACCTAAGAGAA